AAATACCTGCCTTAATTTACTGAAAGTAAAGTTGGTTAATACATCACCTTTCACAGGAAGTCCATGAACATCCAGCATCAGCAAGGCAACAAGGGAAACCTGGAGGAAAAAGAAAACTGATATAAGAAAGTGTAAACTAAAAAGAAAATCAAACGTGCAAAAAAAAAGTACTTTACCCCCAGGAGGATCTGAAAAGTCATCATACTGAAGACCAGCAGTAACAGCAATGAGAGCATGAGGGTTTATAAATGGAACCGACGACCACTGGTTACCAATCAGAGCTTAACTAGCAAACAGCACACAGCTGTTGATGAGAGATTTCCATTTAGGGAATTCGAAATTCATGTTCATTCTTTACACCCTGTTTTTAGACCTTTATTTATGTATTTATTTTGAAGTTTTCAAAATATAAGCATTTCCAATATGAGAATTTGAAAACACAATGTTTATTTTTTACAGTTTCTTTAAACACTCGCTGTATACAAATTCATATTAGACTTCATAAAAGTAATGTGTTTTGAAAGTTATCATACTGAATGTCTTTATCTTTTAAAAAAGAAAACTAAAATATGTAATAGGTAAAATAAGAGTTAAGTTAAATTAAAGCAGATATTAAAATCATATTGCTCTTGTCGTATAGTCTACTTCTGTTGCTGTTACAGCTTTTTATCAACCTCTGTTTTTTTTCAAAAGGTGGCCCTCATTGTTCAAATCTGCTGAGTTATAGTTACAGTCAAAGAAACAACTCAGCTAATCAGAACAACACTTCTGTGTGAGCACTGCCATTTAAAGGCAAAACTAACAGAAAAAACAGCATCTCTAGAAGTACAAATCAATGCAAAAAGAAGTTGGAAATAAGTGATTGTAAGCTGTATTAAAGTGTCTGACCAAATGGTATCTTTCATCTTTATACCAAATGTTACATTCCTCTTCAGAAATCCAAATTTTTAACCCTCATTTAGTTTTGCAAATATTTCCAAAGCTACATACACATTTCAATAAACATACTTTGTACAAAAAGTTGTGTTTTTATTGAATTTTTTTTTATGAAATTGAATTTAAAGAAACCAAAGGAGTGAAAGTGGGAGTTTAATCAGAGATAAACTGATTTTTATTAGCATCACTCTGATACCAACTCATTTTAATAAGGCTCTCGATCTTTGCTATGGGTTTATTAAATATGATTTTAGATCATTCATACTCCCTCTTGAAGGATTCTAACCCCAGGCTCACACCGACTCCGGTCTTACCGTTGAGGTG